AGCGGACCAGAAGGAGAACTGCTGTCAAGTGCTAAATACATAACACTGCCCTTATTCTTTTTCTCTCCCTTCCTGCTTACGAAAAAGAAAATTTTTAATGTCCAGAAATCTTTATTATCCTTTTGGCATTTTGTTTTATTTTCAGCTTAATTGCCTATTGATGTCAAAGCGGATTTTTCCGATTTCTTATTTAAGTCTCTTAGTTGTCAGTATAGGGAAGGAGAGAGAAGAAAGAAAAAAAAGCCAAATCTTTCCCTTTTCACTTTCCTTCGCTGCTCCGACTCTTCTTTGGGAGCGATGTTATTTTTTGTAAGTTTAAATTCCAGGGTACCTTAGTTGTTGCTTTTACAATTTAACCCAGTCAGCCAAAACTTTCACTTCTTATCTTCCTCCTGCACATTCTTTTCCGGTCGAGTTCTCCTTTGTGGTGGCCATTTCTGACCACCTCTGCAACCGCCTTCGGGAAAGGAAGTAATGGCCAGCTGAGGAGGAGAGATGCGGCTCTCCTCAAACCTGCTGGTGGTCTCCCCCCTCTTCACCACCTCTATGGGGTGGCTTAGCCCCCAAACCAGCCGGCTCAAGGCGCTCCAGCGGCGAGCCCAGACAGAAACAGTGCACGATCGTGGATTTCTCTCTGTCGCCAAAGCCCTTCAAACCGGAAATCCAATCATGCTTTTTTTTTCAACTTACTTCAGGCATGATTTCCCCCAAATCACTAATTTTGTCTGCTAACCACCTTAGAGGCCTGCCAACAGATAGGAAGTTTGGAAAAATCAACTTAATTTTCCCCAGAACAGAGAGGGCATTTTTTTCATGTTGTATCATGTTTCACATAAACTAAAAGGCTTTTAATTCCAATCTTTTGCCTTAGAAAATTGGCCTCTTCCTTTTTCTGCAAATTTTCAGGTATTGCAGTATAGTTTTTGATATGGGGCAGTTAAATCTTTTGACATTATTAAAATATGGATTTGGACATTATTTGAATATGGTGAATTATCTGAATTGATGAATTAAACATAACTTGGGCACTTATTCTGAATCTCAGGATCAGCTTATACATTGTTCTTTAAAATTCTTTAGGGATTTTGTTCGATGTATTTTGTCACATAGTTAATAGCAGACACAAATCCTGGTATCACCAGGACTATAAAAGTAGGAAAGGAGGTGTTGGCTTGATAGTTGTTCCCCTGTGAGTGCTGCAGGGGTTGGTCTTCTCCCCACTACTGTTTTATACCTACCCAAAGTAATTGGAAGAGATCACCTGTCATTTTAAGGTTCAATACCATCAGTATGCTGATGATACTCAGTTTTTATATATTTACTTGATCCATATGGTCTTGAGCTCTTCGTGTCTAGAAGATGTGAAGGTTTGAATGTAAAATTACAATCTAAAATTAAATGCTAGCAAGATGGTGTTACAGTTTGCCCATTGGGGCTCCTGGGTAGCTACATGGGGCTGCCCTTGAAGAACATCCAGAAACTCCAGTTGGTGCAAAATGCAGTGGCCCGCATGGTTTTGTGCAGATCCCAGTGTGCACGTGTTTCATCTCCTGCAGGAGCTGCATAGGTTGCCGATTTGCTTCCGGGTACAATTCAAGGTGCTGGTTGTTAACTTTAAAGCCCTTCATGGCTTGGGACCAGGTTATCTGAGGGAACATCTCTTGCCGGTCACATCTACCCAACACATCAAAGCGGGGAGGCAGGGAATGCTGTGGGTCCTATCCCTGGGGGAGATATACCTGGTGGGACCCAGAAGAAGAGCCTTCTCCGTGGTGGCTCCCTCCCTCTGGAACATCATTCTCCGAGAGATTAGACTGGCCCTCACTCTAACACTCTTTTAGAAGGCACTGAAGACCTGGTTCTGGCAGCAGGCCTGGGGAACCCAGAGCGGGATGGAGCCCATCAAATGGCTCGTGTGATCTGCTTTCATCGGGGCAGGGGGTGGGAGTTGGGAGGTGATTTTTTTTTCCAGATTTTGTTCTATTGTACTTTATTAATTTATTTGATTCTTTTTGTTAGTTTTATTGTTTTTTTGTTTTTGTTTTAAATATGGTTTTACATTCTGTAAGCTGCCTCGAGTCGCCATGGGTGAATAGGGGGCAATATAAATTCAATAAATAAATAAATATGGTAGCATGACCTATGGACCAGAAGCTCTATGGCTTGGGGATCTATCTGAATTGTAGCTCTTGCTGAAATAACAGGTAGAAGCCATGGCTAACAAGGTCTTTACCTGACTCCAGTCAAGGTCCTAACTACAGTGAATCAGGTTTTCTTTACAGCTTATTTAAGACTGCTGCAATGCATTCAACATGGGCCCACTTGGAAGTTTCATTTGGTTCAAAATGCAGCAGCCTGTGTACAATCCAGGACTCAGCAGTGGAAATATATTACAACTATGGGCACCACATTGGCTTTCAGTGGGCTTAACCTATAAAGCTTTTTATTGCTTGGCTCAAGTTACTTTCAGGACTCATTAAAATTAGCCCAACCAGTTTGATCTTGCAGCTGATGGTTCTCCATCTTTAGGAATTGGAGAGGGCGGGTTGGGTTTCAGAGACTAATTTTCTTTGGCAGAGCTCATAATCTAAGCTCTGATATGGCAGCCCTTTGGAGCTTAGATTAGCTCCAGTTTTAACGTTCTTTTTAAAAAAAAAAAAAAAAAAACTACATTGGACCCACTTGGTTTAAAAGAGGAAAAGTAAATGAAAACACCCCTGAGACATGGTACTAACAACAGCCAAATTTGCATGAGAATAGCAGAAATGCAACTCTAAGCAGAGGACAAGAAAAAGGAACTCACAAACATTATTCAAACAGGAGTTTTATTTATATCACCCCAAGGCAAGATGGCCCTGAAATGTGGAAGAAAAGGGACCACAACTTTAAGTATGCTAATCCACTGTTTCCCTCATGGCTGTTTCTAAATCAGTGAATGTATTTTCAATTGCTTTTATTGATGAGAATAACAAAATGTCAAGTGGTGATTGGGAGAGAAATAAACAGGCAGTGGAACAGAGAAAGATTGAACACATCTCCCGAAGGCACACTCTTCGGGAGCCAACATTACAAGACATTGCATCCAAGAAAAGCCTAACGGCAGCCATCTTTCAGTTCAGTGCCCCTCTCTCTCATTCAGGCACTTTCACCAAGAGTAAAATTTCTTCCACTTATTTCCCATTCTTTCCCACTAACAATGGACATCCTCACACTTGCAGAAGTGTGCGCAGTCTTTCTACAAACCCTATTCTGATAGTAAGAACATAAGCATTCTCATTTTCTGTGTTGAATAGATCACTTTTCCCAACCTGGTGATCTCCAGATGAACCTCCCACAGATTTGCTATATAAAATAGCTGAACCAAGCTAATGCCAATTTCTCCAGTGTTTTAAAAAATGTAGTCTCTATCTATAAACTTCTTGATTAACTTCACTCATCTACCTTCACCTTTTACTGTTTTTATCTCCGTCTCAGGCTTCCCCTAACTTAGGCTCCTGCACGATCACCCTTAGTGCTACTATGGGCCATGCTGCCTGGGAATGACGAGAGTTGTTGTTTAACCGGTATGGTGGGGAGCGGGGGAGAGAAGAGGAAACAGCAGGGGAACAATTGCTTTGGGGGAAAATGCAAGTCAAGACAGACCCAGGACACATTGTACGCTGCAGAATTCAAATTTGGCTCCAAAAATTCTAATGACCACCAGATGGCAACAAAGACATATAGCAAACACTAATGTGCTTTGTAGATTTCTTTATTTTATTTATTCAATTTTTAAAAATCCCATCTTTATTACTTTATAAGTAACTCAATATGATGAACATACACAATACTCCTTCTCTTTCTATTTTCCCCACAACAATAACCTTGAGAGGTGGTTGGACTGAGAGAGAGTGACTGGGCCAAAATCAGCTTTCATTGCTAAGGCCCGAGTAGAATTTAGTTCTTTGTATCTAACCTGGTGCCTTTTTTCCCTTTCCTTTCCTTTCCTTTCCTTTCCTTTCCTTTCCTTTCCTTTCC